TTATAATTAGTAATCATTTTATTTTTATATAGGTTTGATTTCAGTAATTAAAAAGTAGTTTTTACTCTTCAAACTACCATATATTATGAAGTTTTTTAAATTGCCCATTTTAGACATGCTTCACTTTGACTTCTAACCACTCCTTTCAGAGTTGACCATGATTATGCCCATATAATTAAAAGTAACATGGAAACAGGAACACAGTCCAATATAGTGAACATCATTGATATTTCTGAACACAGTAGTGTTTAAAATGAGTTTGTCTTTCATGTATCACCTGTAAGGTTTCTGGGAGAAAAAAAAAAAAAGAGTTTCTGAGAGACACTTCCTTTAGAAATTCTGAGTGACCGTTTCATTATGAAGCTTTATGCATGAACAACTCTTTCTAAGAACAAAAGATAAATATAAAAGCAGGTTCTTTGACTGTCTAGTCTTAACATTTAATAACAGTGATTTATGAAACACAAATTCCAAAACTGTGTTATTTCAATTTTAGTTTTCAGTATTGCAAAAATGAAACATGGTGATATTTCCTAACTATTGTTTTGTTCTTGGCCATACCTGAGACAAAAAGAAAAAAGCCTCATAATTTCCTCACACCCTTAAATATTATTTGTAATAATATATAAGATAGTGAGCAGAGAATTTTAATTTTTATTGCCATATGCTTAACAACAAAGTAGCACCTGGAAGGCCTTCTAGATATTTATTGACATAATGAATAATTACTTCATTCATAGTGGTATTTGGTGCCCACAATTCTACAGCGAGGGATGACTGGCAGGTTGGTGCCACTACAAGCCTTAAGACAGGAGTTCAGGTCTTGGTAGAAGTAGAAGCTGGGGAAAACAAGTATGACTGGCAACTCTCAAGGGAAAATATATGATTGTAATTAAARTAGATTCAGAAGTAAGAACTCGTGAAGAATTTAAAATTAAGATTGAAGCATTTAAGAAAAGAAAAGGGAAAAACCCTCTAGCAAACTCTAGAAAGGTGTTTTTCAATCTTGGCACTACTGACATTGACAACTGTAAACTCCTTGGAGGATCAGTTCTATGCATTGTGAATGGTTAGTAGTAGTCCTGGCCATTGACAGCAAGACCTAAGAATCACAAGCCAAGTTGTAAAACCCTAAAATGCTTCCATACACATGTAAATGCCCCAGGGGAGGCAAAATCACTCACAGTTAGAACCACTAATCTAGGGTAATTTGAGCTCATCACAGTCATTCAGAAGGTGCAGGCAAATGAGAAAGTTCTGAAAACATGAAGTTGAGAAGAACTGACAAAATACATGACTCATTCCTCTTTGATCATGGGAAAGTTTAGAGTCAGAAAATGTAAACCAAAATAATGAAATGTCAAATGACCAGCAAGAGGTTTGTGCAAACAAAAGCAGCTGTTTCCAAACTGTTACAAATGCATTAGGAGCAGTATTTCTGTTGACTATTCAAGAGGGAGAATGATTGTTCATCTTAGGTTTACAGAGTGTATAAGCAGCAGCAATGCATTAAAGATTTGATGTACCTCATGGTTGGAAGGGAATCTCAGATAAATTATCAGTGGGAATAACAGCTTCAACTATATTCTTAATCTATTAAAATGGAAAGCAGGCATTATCGATCCAGTCTGATAAGGTAACAATGTTTCAGGGCAAAGGGATATGATTTTAAGAAATAGTTGAACATGGTTTCTGTTTTTCAAGAATGCTCAAAAATCGGGACCTAATTCTGTATTTAGAAAAGGATATTAATAACATCTGTTAGTTCAGAATTGCTAGGAGGCKCCTTAATCTTTTATGACTCTGGATACTGTATGATTTTATTATATTAAGAGGATTGAGGGTTATTCTGATTATATAAATGCACAGACAAATATACATGACCATATATATATGCTCACAGTTTTATTTCCTGAAGTGAATTATTTTACTATACTGATTCAGAGACAAATCCACTATTATATTTTTATATTATTAATTTTTGTGGGTTTGGATTTGTCTCTATATCTGATTTTTACGAAAATCTATTTTAACATGCTTTTCATCACTTCAGACTATTATATAAGATACAAAGTTTGTACAGTAAATAATATTAGTAATTTACTTAGAGTTGTCTGTTATTACCAAAATTAAATTAAATTCAAGAATACAAGCTGAGAAATTGGAAATTATGATAAAACAGGACAACTCTTACAGGCAACAAGACTCTGTGACTAGAAACTACATATAAAAAAATCAAATTGATAAAAACTTCAAAATTATGTTTCTCAATTCAAATTAGGAAATTTGAAAATAGTTAGAGGTTTGCAATACAAAGGCTACACAGTTTAAAGTATATTTCTTGAAGTTCAACTCTTGAAGACTATGCTTTCAAAGTTGAATAAATTGGACCCAGTACATGAAAACTTCCCCAAAATGCTATCAATTTTTGTATATAGAAAATACCTTAATGGCAGCATTCTTACTAACTCTTTGAAGAAAAAAAGTTTTATGATAGATATTTTTTTTGCTTGGAAATCCATTTGATTGAATGATTTATTAGAATAGCCTTCTTAGTCATTGAAAACTCGGCAAAGAAATGTTTTAAGTTCATCATGTTTGATTTTATTTCTTTAAAAATATATATGCATATTATAGATGAAATACCTTTATTTAATTTATATACTTCTATATGGTCCTGAGGATTGAACCCAGTGCCTCACACACGCTAGGTAAGTGCTCTACCACTGAGCTACAGCCCCAGTCCAACTCTATTTCTTATAACGTAGTAGCTGTGGTGGTGAAATTCAGCCACTGACTTCTCTTTCTCTCTCCCCACCGCCCGATGCTCTCTTTATTTCTTTATCTCTTTTTTAAATAGATATTAAAATACACTTTACATTAGTAATATAATAGTACTTTAAAAAGTGAATGTGCATAAATGTTCACTGGTATAATCATTACTTTCGATTTCATAGATGAGAAAATGAAGACCAAGAGAATGCAATTAAACATTGAAAAAGAAATGTTGGCAGAAAAAAACATTATATATGCTAGGTGATCTGTGGCCAACTGTATGATTTTCCTGTGTTTCCCTCAACTTTAACACTATAAGCAAAAATTTTTATCTGATGAATTAAATGCACTCCCAGTTGTTTGAATATTTAAAAAATGTCCTTCCTCTTTGCATTCTTATGCTCATCGCACATTAAGATCACATGCTTATCTTAAAGGAAGTGAAAAGGGGAAATTTCCATGGCTGTAATAAACTTATTATAAATAATATTAGTGAGAATATGTAGGATATTTTAAGTTTTCATATTTCCTGAAGAAAATATATCTTATTCTGAATTTACATTCATCATAAGGCACATTTATTAAATTATTGTAAGTTTAGCATTGCCTTTTTGACATATATAAATGTGTATGCTTCCATTTAAAATAAGATTTTAAATTATATAAGCAATTAATGCAATATAATTAATACAATACTGTAATATAGACACAAATAACAAAATTCCTATTTCACAGACTATGAAATGAATAATCCACAGTAACTTGAAAGTGCTCTACCACTTGAAACATACAGTATAAAATGGACACTGTGGCTGTAATACAGATTCAGAATCTAGTTGTATCTCAGAGGTAAAGCATTTACTAAATTTTTGTTCATCCAGGAGCTCAGTATATAGATTACAGAAAGTAACTACTGTAAATTCTCTATGCCCATCCCATTAAATGATTTTCTGATTTGCTTTCATAGAGCAGAATAGAGAGACTATAATTTGACTGCATATCAAGATGCATATATCTTAAGTGGTTACTCACTTTAATTGTCCTCAGTGATTTAAAATTCTAGACTAGTTTTATCTGCTGAAGAGCCAAGTGGTACCAGATGGCTGAGGGAATTCAATTCAATAAGGCTCAAGTTAATTCAATCAGCTAAGTAGTTATTAAGCTCTATTCTAAGACTACGGACAAAGATATGAAGTATAGTTCTTGATTTTAAAGTATTGACATTCTATGGGAAATGCAAAAAGAAAGAAAACAAGAAGCATCTTGACTCTGTGGAGAGAGTATATAATGTAATAATTTAATTTCTCAACATTTATTAAATCCTCATTAAAAACTAGATGAAGGGAAATAGATGCCAAATGATCCCTATGTCCAGGAAAAACCAAACAAAACTATTTATAGTTTCTATGGGCAAGATTACCATTATCACATCTTTATGTGGTTGATTTCATGTTTTAAAAGTTTTCTATAATGACATCCATAAAAATTACCTTCACTCTGTGCTCTTAAGCATGCAACCATTGGGTCTATGACAAGTCTGTTAATTCTTGCTTTTTGCTAAGATTGCTTAGGTTGCTATTTGTTTTCCTTCTCAATATAACATTTCACCTTTAATATCATCTTTCTTACATTATCGGATGTTTAAGGACTGATATAATTGAATATGATAAAACATATCAATATTTTTTAAATGAATGAAAATATATTTTATCAAAAATAGTGTTACTTAGAAGATAAAAACTTAACAAAGTTTAATACAAGACTTGTRTGCCCCTCTCATATTGTAGTAAGTAAATTGTTTCTACCTGCTGATCTTCTTAGTTGTTTTTCTTTTATACAAATACTCTCAAATTTTGATTTAAGAAAACTAAAGAATACACATGCATATACACACACATATATACACAAACACATATGCATATAGTCATTTAAATGACTATATTAACATATATCTATCATTGTTTTTTAGTTAAAATTTTAAGTGATTTTTTTTTACATCTTGAGTCCATGAGTTGGTGGAAAAAAATTAATTCAATTTAATGAATTCCTACATTTATTAATTTCCTAGTTTTTCAAAATAGAATAGTATTTCATAAATAATGCTTTTGGGATATTTTGGGAATCAAAGTTATACAGATCATCATCTCTACAACCTTTCATTTTCCATACATAGTAAGACTTGTAAAGTATGAAGGTAAATATTTGTCATTTCAGTATGGACTTACCTTGCCTACATATTGATAATCAGATCCTGTATATTCCTCCAGTAAGAAAAACTGATTCCACATCCAACCACGTTTTTGACGATGCAGAATTTTGCCATCACTTCTTGACACTCGTGCACCTAAAATCCTTTGTTGAGGCACAGGAGTCCTTCTGAACGTTATCTCTGGAGAACAGAAATGTGGCAGGCATACGCAGAGTAGAATCAGTCTCAAAAACTGGTGTATTGTCATAGTTCACTTGTTGACAAATCCCAAAGTGGATGAAGAAAAAGTAGTCCTATTTTACTGGATTGGATTTTACTGCATTTCAACTGGTTTCCAACATTTCATTAATATTTGGTACGTTTCCAAAATCTTTAAGCAAACAGATAAAAAAAAAAAGTCAGTTGACAACATCATGACTGTTACTTGTCATTTTAAATTTAAAATTATAAAAATTTATTAAAATATTTAGTGTAACTATTTTTCATAGAATAGTGATTGGTTTGGGAAGCATTGTGTCATAAAATATGCATGGTTTAAGAAAATATAATTATGGGTGTTTTCTTTCAAACAAAGTATGAAGAAGAGACATCATGAAGTTCATTTATCTCTTTTGGTGATTTAATAGTATTTAGAATTTATAATTCCTATAGATTGGAGGTGTATTTTATCTTGTGTATCATTTTTTCCTGAATAAATTTTACTTAAAAGCAGTGATTTAAATAAACTACAGGAATTGTGCATTACTTGTGAAATATAATAATAATACCTAAATATTTTTCAAACAGTGCACAATTTTTTCCAATTTAGTCTAGATGCAAAAGTAAAGGCAAAAACAAGCAAACAAACATATAAACAAAAGAGGATTGCACTGGGTTAAAATATTTCCTCTCTTTTCTTTGGTGTGTGAAACATCTGGGTTTTCCCAGATGCAGAAAAAAAAAAAATCCCACTTCAGAGAATCATTTCTAAAACAATGAATACTAGTGGGTAAGAGGATATAATCAAGTCACAGCTCTACCTGTGCTATGTTTACCCAAACTGTCCAGTTCTAATGGTCCCTACTGCCACCAAGTTTGTCCCAAATTGCATGGCATCTCTGCTGGACTGTGGCAATAGTCTATTCCCCACTCTCCACGTTGTGCCTGTCAATATTTTCACAACAAAATCTCCAAAGTAACCCCATTCAAAAGTAAGTTACACCATTTCACTGCTGTGCACAGAACATTCAACTGGCTTCTCATCTAACTTTGAGTGAAATCTAAAATCTATGCATAGTTACCGCATTCCCTTCATCACTGTCACTCCTCTGACCTGCTTCACTTCAACCCTCCAGCTGCCCTCCTGACCAACTCCTTTCCAGTTACAAGGACCCTCTTCTTCACCCTGCAACAGAGTTCATCGGCTTCTTTCCTCAAGTCTTGTTCCCTGTGCTTGGAATGCCTTTTCCCAAGAAAGCAACTTACATAGGCCCTTTGGTTCCTTCAGGTTTTGTTTTGAAATCTCTTCTGATATTTTACATATCCCAACACATGACATGCATTTTATTTGTTTGTTATGCATAAATTCTGCCAACCAGTTATAATCTCTTTCAGGAAGGATTTTTTTCTCTGTTTTCTTTACTGCTTTAGTAACAATACATACAACAGGATCTTGCACGAAATAGATGCTGAATAAATAGTTTGAATGAATGAATAAATGCCTGCATAAATTGTAAATGGATGCAAACATCTGAATATGATTCATTACCTGCTGTGTGTTGTTATGCCAAAGCATTCATCTATGGAAATGCATATTTTAAATAAAATTCTTAATCCTCATTTATCTTATCATTAGAATATACTTATTAAAAAAAACTTTTTGTAGTTGTAATTGGCCAGAATGCCTTGTTTTGTTCTGTTTTGTTTTATTTATTTTTATGTGGTACTCAGGGTGGAACCCAGTGCCTCATACATGCTAGGCAAGCACTCTGCTACTGAGCTACAAACCCAGTCCCAGAACATTATTTTTATTTTAAAATTTTGTGTGAATTTTTAAATTTTTCCAATAGAAATAAATTAAGTGTCAAGGATGATAAGACATTTGTTTTAAAAAGTGGCTGGAGAATGAAATGATTGAGTTCTACTTCTCTTATACAGCATGCATTCTAAGTATTCTGGTGTTTACATTTGTGTTTCCGTCTATGATTATTAGCTAGCAATCTGTTTACTTTTTGTTTTGTTATTTAAAATATTGACAAGCTAATATAAATGTGCTTTAGAAATAATACTAATGGTGAAGCAGTAAATCTCCTGAGTGTACTAAATGTCACTGAAACCTCCATAGTGTGTGAAGTCATTCAACATGATTGATACAAACTCTACTAAAATATTATATGTGATACTTTACTTGGAGTTTAGTAATCACCTGATGCACAAAATAGTTGTACATCCTAAAGTAATGACTTTATAGAAACTCATATTGTTTGGATTCTAAGTAGCAAAAACATTTAATAAAATGATGTTTGTCTTTTTGTATCTCAGAGTGTGCTCAATGGTATATCAGGAAAGTCGCTTTTCCTAAGGGAAGGAAAAGTTCGTGTAATGAATGGTTTCTACCCTTTTCCACCAAAGCATAAAATTTCATTGAAGCAACAGTCATTCTCAGTTCATCTATTTTAAGTACATTTTACACAATGATCATTGGAAAAAACTATTCCACTGACAAGAATACATAAATGTAGATACTTTTAGTAAGCCATCATTTAATTTGTCCAAAGTTAATTTTTACTAGGATGTTCTATATGGCTCAGAGTCTATATGTAGACATGTCAAAGCATTGCTCATTTATTATTAATACCACAATAATGATTTTTGCCCATAACCTGCCTCAAATTATAGAATAATTTTGACTTTAGATTCAACCAATAGACTTTTTTTAAGAGAGAGAGAGAAAGAGAGAGAGAGAATTTTTTAATATTTATTTTTTTTAGTTTTTTCGGCGGACACAACATCTTTGTTTGTATGTGGTGCTGAGGTTCGAACCCGGGCCGCACGCATGCCAGGAGAGCACGCTACCGCTTGAGCCACATCCCCAGCCCCTCAACCAATAGACTTTTGATATGGTAAATTAATATATTTTATTGTTTTATTTAGTATTTCATGACTCACAACTGTGCTCCCCACCAACCCTGTGTTCATGAAATGATCATTTCAGGAATGAGAGCTTACCTTGTTCATAGCTACTGCCAGGTTTTCTAAACCTCAACTTTTCTTATTTAAAAGTTATCCTACAGGGTGTTAGCTAAATTAATTTTCCAAAACTCACTTCACCAAGATTCAAATCAATTAAAAATTTTGAGTGTATCTCCTACTGGGAACATAACATCTACCTTTCATAAATTATTTCAATATCTGAAATCAGATAATTTTAAAATTTTTATTTCACATTATTTCCAATTGTTTTTCATTTCATTTTTGATATGAAACTTCTTATTTGTATAAACTACTTCCTCATGAATATATAAATCAGAGTACTATTTAGGTGATTAGACTCTATTGAATTTTCCCCACTAGTGAACTCCATTTTGTAAGCTAGATGTAGATATACCAGCAGATGTTTCTAGAATTAAGTAATACATATTTTTAAAGACTCTTTCTGGATGGGTATGGTGAGGCATGCCTGTAATCCCAGAGGCTTGGGAGGCTGAGTCAAGAGGATTGTGAGTTCAAACCAGTCTCAACAAAAGTGAGGTACTAATCAACTTAGTGAGACCCTGTCTCTAAATAAGACACAAAATAGGGCTGAGGATGTGGCTCAGTGGTAGAGTGCCCCTGATTTAAATCCCTGGTACCCCCTTCCCTGCTCAAAGAACTCTTTCTAAATAGGTTGGACTACTTGTGATGAAAAATAAAAGTTGTATTTTAGAATATAACAATACTATTCAGTGGAAATATTGTACTTGTTGGAAATTATAAACTATTAAAAGTGTCAACAGGATTAAGATAAAAGTAAAATACTTAAATTAATGGAATTTTATAATGTRACTTCCAATTAATAAATTTAATTTTTGAGTAGTCCATTTCAAATCAAATTTTCATAATAAAACTAACATAAATATCATGCAAATTAAGAATCATTAAACCACCCTTTAGCATGTGCATTCCCATATTCCTTTAAATTAGTGCTTTCAATTTTTGACATACACTCTGGATTCTTAGGACCTTTGGTAAGTGTCTGTTCCCACTCAGCATATCTGAGACAGCACGCATGATTCTCCATTGCCAACTAGCTCCCATATCATGCCAACACAGCTTGGTCCCATGCTTTCAACAGAAAATCTGTAGACCAACTCAAACCTAAATTCACCTCTAAAATATTATAATGACTTTTTTCCCCACTTAGTGCTTCAGAAAACAGGTACACATTTTACTATGATAATGATTGCTGCTGGAAGATTAGAACATTATTTCTCAATAKTCAAAGTCATTTTGGACACTTTTTTAACCAGAAAGTTTTGACTCAAGTCAGCATACACTAAAACAATTTCCCTTCTAATCAGAAACATAAATATATAAACTATGATTTCTTGTATAAGCGCATTTTAGATAATTTGTCTCACTGGGCTTCTATAATTTTTATAATCACGAGATTTCATTATTCTCTGTAAATACTTATCACACATATTAATTCCTCTAAAATCTTCAAATTTTATCATTAAAACAGTSAAAAAAAAGCAGATCACAGGATACAATAGTGGGTATTTTGGCAAAACTCAATTACTAATTAAGTCTTCATACATCACAGATGATTACTTAAGCTACAATCCATCTTTGGCTAATAAAAAGAATTAATCATTCTTCAGTCAATTGTCTATGTTGATTAGAATCCTAAAGTATTAGTTTTTTTAACCACCATTTATAATAGTAACAAAAATGCTAAAGATTATTGAGAACAAACTGAAGCCTGTGTAGTCATATAACTTTATGCTTTTAGTATTTCATACAACAAATACTGTCTAATGAAATTCAAGAATGAAAAATAAAGGAACACTTTTCAGGTGTATTGGTATAATTAAAATGAGTTGATGCATACTAAATACTTCCTTTTTATTCAAATGGTGCCATTTTATGCATCTCGGATAAAGCACAATGTGAGATAATTGAATCAAAGCATTACACAAAGGACACAAATAAAATGAGTCCATATGTTTGATCATATTTTCCAAGACTTCATTATACATTACTTAATGTGCTTTAATGCTTTAGAAAATATATAGTTCTATACTGAATATTTATCACTCTATTTTAAATATTCTGCATATGTACTACTGTTTAAATTGTAAAGCATGCATACCTTGCATGCAAATTTAGTAATATAGGGATTATTGCAAA